AGTAGATGGAAGGCACAGTAGGAACTTATTAACAAGGTGTGGTTACATTTGCGGTTGTTGGATAAGTGACGGCAGTGATAACTATTGCTGCAAGCAATCTGAGAAGAGCTAAACTGGCTTGCACCATTCTTCTTTCTCGGAGCATATCTGCATAGCTGTCTTAAACGTATTTCTAATCAGTGCTCGTTTCGAAGATGCAGAATGAGCAAATCTTACATTGACAAGGATGTTTTTTGAGCTTTTCGCGGTACTACTTCATGCTAGCTATGCCTCTGGATAACTTACGTGTGCGTTGAGATAAGGCAGCCCCATCCGTCTTATGGTATAGTGTGAGCTTTATGTAGTGCGACTAATGGTGAAGTTCATTCTTCAGTTCGGACTAGGTAGACGTAAATATACAGCAGTTATTGATACAGTACATTAGCAGCATGCGGACATCAGTTCCTCTAGTTTGCTATTGAAGCAAATGGCGAGAACAAGTGCTAACCTCTTACCCGCCAATCCTATCTAGGAGTAAGTCTCAAACCATCTGAAATATTACATCTCAAGCATTAGCTCGGTGGGGCTATCGTTCCTCTTTTGCCACAAAAACCACTGAATATTGGCATGTTTATCCAGTATCTTTGAAAGCTGCAGACTTGACTGTTCTGCGCGTTAGTGTAGAGCAAAGTCACATGAATGACTTGACTACAGTGACTGAATCAAATTCGTTGCTTTGAAGCTTCTCGATAAATCAGGAAGTTGGATGCGGCTACTTTGGGTAGCAGCTGGCTCATGATTTTGTTCAACAACCAAAAAAAACAACCATCTGTAGAACCGCCACACAACTGATAGTAGGTTTAATTTTGTAAGTATCCGCAAATAGTGGGTTGCCACGTATCCAACATCATGCAAATGGTAATAAACATACGTTTTAATAAGCTCCTACTCTTACTCCAATTATTTTCGTAAGTGCAGAGCATAATAAACACACTTCTCCAGGACGTGTCTATGTTTTGCTTATTGTTTTTGTGACCCGAACAACAACATGAAAAAAGCGCTTCGAAATAGTTTTGCGATTGATATTGTATAACGGAAAGATGATCTTTCCGCACGATAACATAGGTAATTGTGCAAAGTACGATTAATAATAAAAATGTTAGCTGCAATGCTTCTATGTTGGGGAAAGTGGTAGATTGGTTGTCGCTCACACACTAACATCTGGCGCATAAAATGCGTATAGCCTTATTTTCACCTTTGCGCTGGTACGGAAGAAGTGGAGGAGACAAGTTTATACAAAATGCGAAATGTCTGCTAAAAAGAAAACCTCTGCTTCGAAGCATTCTGTTCACTGAGTATCTAGCGATGTACAATAAGATATTTATCACTTACCAACGACTACATTCACTTTATGCAACGTGTAGAACACGTGTCAAGCGCTTCTATAGTATGGTTCACTCCATCCGCCAAGACCACTTGTGCTGCGGAATTGACGTAGCGATGCTCAGTGGTATCTTCATTTACTGTCGCTGACGCTTTTGCGGAAGGGTTGTTGAGGATCGTGAACTAGCAGGATTGGAGCTGATGCTCAATCTCAGACAGTCGATGGCTCCGGAGCGCGAAGTGGCAGACTCGCGCCATATGCCCGCCGGAGGTATCCCTTCGACTGTCTAAGAACTGCTAGGAATAACATGAAACCTGTGTACTCCTATATAATATGAAATGAAGGCCAATGGCAAGCTCTCCACTTTGACGAACAGTTCCGCTGCAAATTCTGTCTCTGGCAAGCACATGCTTCAGCTAATTATTTCTCGAATGTTTTCACTAGTAAAAATTTGATGAAAACACCCCTTTGCATAAATAGTGTCCTATCCCACATCACTTCAGTGATGTTTTCTTTCACCTTCTGAAGTTTACATTATTTTGAAAATTCTTAGACAGTCCATAAGTGAAACCTATGACGGATTATGGCAAATCATTTGTAGAAAATGTGCATTTACTCTGGCTGCACCACTTGCCCATATATTCAATATGTGGATGCTTCTAAGTTGAGGTGCCTCAGTGTTGGAAAGAAGCCATTGTGAGGCTATTCCAAAATCATCCGGTATAAACCAGACAAGCAGCTATCGTCCTATCAGTTTATTGCCTACACCAGTGAAAGTAATGAAAAGATCATAAGGGCCAGACTGCTATCATGGCTTAACAAGTTTCATGTTATTCCTATGGAACAGCATGGTTTCATTCCCGGACGTCTACCACTACTAATTTAGCGAATAGTTTATTTGATTGGGCGTTGGCATAGAACAAGGGAATGTTATTTATGTTGACCTAACAATGGCGTTTGATAAAGTTAGCCGCGGAAAACTTCTAAGTAAACTAAAGTATTTTGGTACAGATGGCAAATTACTGGAATGGATTGCCTCGTACTTATCTGCCAGAAACTGTTGGAGTTGCTCATTGCCACTCGCAAAGGCATATACGTACCAGTGGAGTACCTCAGGGGTGTCCTCTCCCCACTTTTGTTTTTGCTTTATACTGTTGATATGCCAAGTGCTATCATCACGTCTACACACACGCCATAGTGTCGGGTTAGTAACCAACAGATTCTTGAGAACAAAAATCAGTGTTAGAAATACACAAACTCAGAGACAAGAAAGGCTTAATGCAGAAAAATAAAATAGCTTTTTTTGAGACCATTCGCCACTCTAGGTTAACCAATGAATGATAGAACACAAGGACTAACTATCAGAAGCGCTGCCATAAAGGATATTCATATGAGTCTGCGCATGCCACCCTCGCTGACCAGCAAGCGACCTACATTCAAGGAGTATGACGGAGACTATGAAAAGGGCATGCTAGCGCGACAAACTAGGCAACCCTAGTACAACCGAACATACTGGATGAGCCACAAACTCAATAGGAAAACTGGAAATATGCTCGGTAAAAAAATATTTCGGGCAGTCTCCTTAGGTTAGGCCTTATGTACCAGGAAGAAAAGAAAAATTAGACCCAGAACGACAAATATGTCTCAGTCGAATTGAACTGACACATCATCAAACCAAAGATCAAACAATACGAAACGGCATCTATCTTACACCCTTACAAAAGGAAAGGTAGTACAGGCAAATAAAAGAACTGGAACTCGATCATGCGTTGTCAACGTATACTGGACGACACACCTTGAGTCCGCCGAGAAGCGGGATCTAAAAAGGAAACCGAGAAAAACAACTACAAACTTAAGAGAAAGCTAAACTCCCAAGCTTATCGCAGATGAAAAAGACGTGGCAAGAAAGAAGATGTAAAGCAGTCAGCCGAATTTAACCATTTTCTGAAAAAAAAAGAGGAAAAGAAAAAACGGATTGAAATAAACGAAAGACACACCTTGTAAAAGAGACCCTACATCTAAAAGTATTCAGACTCGTCAATGCCTAACAAACTCAAAAAGTCGCATTTTAAAAGCTTTTTTCTAAACAATTTTGAGTTAACAGAAGAGATGACAGAGTCAGGCAATTTTTGCATCCAACGTGCAGTACGAACAAAAAAGGAGTTATAAAAAAGCTTGTTCAATTTTGTTGATCCTATTGAATCAGCACAGTAAAAATTAAACCTACCTGTACGTCCGTGGCAAGGCTTCCAAACCCAAAATTCACTAGGCAAAAGCTTAGTCTCGAGACGTAATATTTGGAAGGCAAGTACTAGATCAGCAACAACCCTTCGGTAAAGCAGGCTATAGAGCTTGAAGCGGGCCAACCTACTTCTATAGGACGGGAGGGCAGCTGGGTAATCGTCGTTAGGCATAAGTCTATAGAAAAGGATACGAGTAAAAGTCATCTGAACTCTTTCCACAGTCAAGATATCCTTCTTTATATATGGACTCCAAACTTGGCTAGCATATTCTAAATGCGGGAGGACATAAGCCATATACATTCTGATGTAAACTTTCTCATCAACATGCTTCAAGTTACGTAGCAAGAGGAAGAGTCTGTGCACGGCTGCACGTGCTATTTTCTCGATATGGGATCTAAATCGAAGCTCTTGGTCAACTAGCACCCCAAGATCTCTTATTAGTCCAGGCCTAAAAAGAGAGGTACCAGAATGCTCGTATTTCTCAAAGGTGCAATCATTCTCCTTTCTTTTGAAGATTGTCAGGCAGGCACTTTTTGTTAGGTTAACGTCAATACTGTTAAGAGAGGCCCAATTCAGAATATTCTGCAGGCAGTCTCTAAGGGCTTGTGTAACTTCACCTCTATCAGCATCAACATAGGATGCAAACACTTTAATGTCATCAGCATAGGCCATAACCTTAACTCTGCAGTCTGTAGTTAAGAGTCCAGGAAGGTCACTTGTGTAAATATTGAAAAGAACCAGGCATTGGGCTACAAGGGCTATGTTGTCTATCGGGGTGAGGTGGTCAAGATCACCGACATAAGTCGAGGGCAGAATCCACGTCAGGAAAACTGAATTCTTTGCATGGTACTTGTATGATGAGTTGCATCCTACTTAATGCCCGTAGTCTTGTAAACAAAATCGATTTGTTTCATCTTTTTCTCGTTCATGAAAAACCTGACATTATCTTCGTAACTGAATCTTGGCTGACTCCAGCCATTGAATCTTCTGAATTATGTCATGGTCTTCCATACACGATTTTCCGTAAAGATCGAATCAAACGACGTGGGGGAGGTTTGTGTATTCTTGTTCGTGATATCATTTTATGTGAAGATATGCCTACTCCCAGGCAAATGACTGATATTTTGTCACTGAAAATTACGAATATCGAGTCGCAATCTAACTGTTTCATCATTCTTGTTTATCGTCCTCCCTCCTCCACATTCAACAACGATTCTTACCTTATTGATTTTTTGCAAAACTTCTGTAGTAATCATCCCAATGTCGTCCTGATGGGTGATTTCAACCTTGCTATTGATTGGTCAAATAAGACTCCCTTAAGTCCTACTTCTAGAAGATTTATGACTTTGTTTAATGAACTTTCGCTTGTTCAGCATGTCTTTCATCCAACTAGAATGAACAATGTGTTGGATCTTGTTTTATCATCTAATCCTGTTGTTCACAATGTAATTGTTAAGCCTTCTCTCTGTGGTTCTGACCATGCCAGTGTTCATTTCGATCTTTCAATACCCATTGATACTTCCTGTGTGGATTCCCATTTTGACTACATGGGCGGTGATTACTTGGCCATGTCTTCCGCTTTAGACACTATTGATTGGTGGACATTACTTGATGCCACTTCGATCAATGATGCCTATCAACGATTTATTGATTTGATGCATGACTTGCTCTCGCGATTTGTCCCGTACAAAAAGAAAATGAGTAGACCTTGCGATTATCCTTTGCACATCAAGAACTTGATTGAACAAAGAAACAGGTTGTTCTGTACATCTCGAAATCCCCTAGCCTCTGCAATGTATAAGCACATTACTAAAGAGTTATCCAGGCACTTAGCTAGGTTTAGTGCTTATAAACAGAGGAGGCTAACAATGATGAATACTGCTTCTTTGTTCAGATATGCTCGTTCATTTCTTAAAGAACCAGCGAAGGTGCAGATATTGCGGGATGACCAAGGAAATGTCATCAAGACAGATCAAGAGAAAGCTGAGCATCTAGGGCGCTACTTTGCGTCGGTTTTCCGAGCTCCATCGAATCCCCCCGACAACAATGACTCTCAATACGACATCAGATCATGCCACTCCTGTCTTTCTCGAATTTCACAGGTGCTTCCTTGGGAGATTGTGGGCATTTTGAGAAAGCTCAAATCATCCACGTTTTTGACAACTGATGGCATCCCCCAGATTGTATTTAAAAGATGCGCCAACCAATTGGCTACTCCTGTCTCTATTCTAATCAATCTCTCCTTGAGCAGTGGAGAGCTCCCAGATGTATGGAAGCAAGGAAAAGTCGTACCCATACCTAAGGTTCAGAGTCCATGTAAGGTTACCGAGTTTCGGCCGATATCCATCAATTCTGTTGTTTGTAAAGTTGCCGAGAAGATTGTTAGAAGGAAGTTGTTGGCATTTTGTGCACAAAACCATCTCATTCCAGTTGAACAGTTTGGGTTTATCGAAGGCTCTTCGACCACCCTTCAATTATTGGTCTGTGAACATCACTGGAAAAAAGCTTTATCTCAAAATCGATTTACCGATGTTCTTTATTTTGATCTGTCTAAAGCCTTTGACAGAGTAGACATTCCCAAACTGCTTGAAAAGCTTTTCCAAGTAGGAATTCGTGGAACTGTTTTGAAATGGCTCTCATCTTATCTGTCCAATAGGACTTTTTCCGTCCGCTGTAATTCTGCTGACTCTTCCTTCTACTCAGCAACTAGTGGTGTGCCACAAGGTGGTGTATTGTCCCCTGTACTTTTCAATATTTACACAAGTGACCTTCCTGAACTCTTAACTACAGACTGCAGAGTTAAGGTTATGGCCTATGCTGATGACATTAAAGTGTTTGCATCCTATGTTGATGCTGATAGAGGTGAAGTTACACAAGCCCTTAGAGACTGCCT